TTTCGTCCAAATATGGCATGATGTGCTACACTTACATTCAAGTGTTTTCCAATTCTTGGCCCATTCATTCGCAATTTCCCACAATTTTACGAGGTTGCCAGCGAGACGCCAGCGATTGAATAAAGAATTGTTTTTAGATGATGGCAATAATGGGAATGTTACGGTCGAGTTCGCGACTGCAAGCGACGCCGGAGTCGTCGCGGCAGACGACCACGTCGGAAGCGGATTCTTCCGCGGCCCAAGGTACTAATGAACTGAGCCAAAACCTCTCGTTAGCCACAAGAGAGAGTGAAGTGAGTGTAGTGGCGATTCCGCTAATTGCTCGGCAATTAACTACTACGAATTGAGTGTAGAGAGTGGCCTGCCCGCTCCACTTGCTATATGTTATGGCGTGGTGCATGAAACTACTTAATAGACGGCTCTTTACGAGCGAAACGCTCCCGACGCTTGCAAATTGAATTTGTTCATACAACCGCTGTTTATACACTTTAAAATTTAATGATGTTGGCGAGAAAACTTCATTACACGCCGAATCACCAACCAAAACGGTAACATTTTCCTCCGATAAAATAATGACTTATGAGCTAGGTTTTAAATAACTCTAAAATGATGGGAAAGAGACTAAAGAAAGTGAATGAAAGATGTTGTTTGCTTGCTAGGCATATCTTTTTATAAATTTGTAAATGTGGTGAATAAATTTGCACGAGTAATGTTGAAATTAAAAGGCTAGTTATTTATAATTTAATTGACTTCATTATTATAAGTATTAACATATTCCAACTTGTTATTTTTGGGCGCGTGTGCGTTGAGATTTCTTTTCAGATTCGGGCGGATTCTTTGTAGTTGTTTATGTGTTTGCTGCATCTTCTGTGTGTTGTTTGACGTGTTCTTGTTCGGTTGAGCGTCCAAGTGGCTTCCTATTTGGGAGTGTCTCTGCATCGGCCTATTTTTAACTCTGGCATGCGCCGGCACTAGAGATTGCAAAATCCGGATTTTTCTTAAATCCGGTTTTCCGGATTTGTGTTACGTACAAATCCGGATTATCCGGATTTTTCGAATATTGGGTAAATTTTTTTAACCATCAATTTAATTTAAATAAAACGTAGTTTTTTTCAAAAAGGTGTAAGTATTTGAAGAAAAGCGTTTTATTTTATTATCGCGCATGGAATTTATTCCTCTTTTTTTCGGTTTGCACTACAAGCTTTCGAAATTATTTGAACCTTGCAATATTTTTTTCGTTTTAGTACAACTGCATTTCAGAATAAAAACTTGCTTGTACCTATAAAATATTTTTTTTATTCTTCTTGTCGTGTCAACAAAAAACCTACACAGCGTCAGTCCAAAACTCCGCCACAAGAGTGGCGTTATCAGTAACCTTCATTAAATCTTCCTGCTTGCAGTTGTTTGGGCACGAAGGGCACGACATCATGTGCTTCGTCGACTGGGGAACAAAACCACACTTCCACTCCAAGTTTGATCCATCCAAGAATCCCCACCTGACACCTGAACAGATTGTCCTTACTACGGCAGACCTGTCCGAAGTCTATAAAGATTTCCAGGTAGGCCAGGGAGCTAATTTTTTTTATTATAATTTTATTTTACACTTTTAAGTTGTATTTCAATCTCAGGGTCCTGGTCATTATTTACGACCAAAGTGCTCGGGAAGACGAATCCAATGAACTCAAACTCTATAAGTTTCTGCCGTTTCGGTTAGGAGTTCCTATGGCCACCTCCTGACTTCATCATCAGGACCCTGAACATCATCTAGCACTTAAGTGCTTGAAAAGACAAATCCAACAAACCCAAATTCGATGAGTTTGCACCGTTTCGTTTAGGAGTTCCTATGGCCAACTCCCGAATCCATCATCAAGACCCTGGGCATCATCTAGCACTAAAGTGCTCGAAAAGACAAATCCAACGAACCCAAGTTCGATGCGATTCCGCCGTTTCGTTTAAGAGTTCCTATGGTCACCTCTTGACTCCATCATCAACCCAGCTAAATGTAAGGTCTACAACCAATGTGTGTTACCAGTGATGACTTATAGTTCGGAAACGTGGCCTCTCACTATAGGCCTTATACAGAAGCTCAAATTGCACAGCGTGCTATGGAGAGGGCTATGCTCGGTGTTTCTTTACGAGATCGAATCAGAAATGAGGAGATCCGTAAACGAACTAAAGTCGCTGACATACCAGCCCGACGGATACAAGCTGAAGTGGTAATGGGCAGGGCACATAGTACGCAGAACTGACGGCCGATGGGGCAGCAAGGTTCTGGAGTGACATGCAATAAATAATTTGAATTTGGAGTGGAGGCCGCGTACCGGAAAACGCAGCGTGGGACGTCCACCCACAAGGTGGACCAACCAGGCAACATGGAAAGCATTGGGGGGGCCTATGTTCAGCAGTGGACGTCCTACGGCTGAGATGATGATGATGACTTACACTTGCAAGGGATATTTTCCGATTTAGCTGCTCTTTAAAACTCAGCGATATGGTGTTTCAGAATCAGCGTCTCGTATAAAACTCACTAGACGACTAGCGTTGTGCAGGCACAGTGCAGGTGAGAGTGTTGTGCGACGAAGTGCGGGTGCGTTCAATCAAAACTTCGCTTGTTTTGCATCCATGTTGCATTCAATACATATTTTGGTTTATGATTTTATGATAAAATTTTTGGGGTAAAAATATTCGAAAAAACCGGATTTCAAAGTCAAAATCCGGATTTTTTTATAGCCTCAAAATCCGGATTTTTCAGATATTTTCGAATTTCGAATAATCCGGATTGCAATCTCTAGCCGGCACGCGCCGACCTCTCTTATGATTTGTCGGCGTTTGATGCCGTTATTGATAGCTTAGCCACTCGCCCTTTATTAACTTGGTTGCTCTTAGCTTCACTCACAAAACATAAATATTTACTCTTAAGCTCGTGAAGTAAATATTGCCTTTGTTTTTTATCATTATACAAACAGATGGCTTGTTTTTCGGTTTGGTATTGTACGACATGAAAAACATCCCATTTACTGCATAACAATTGTTGGATGCTTAAACAGATGAAATGCATTAATTAAATTTCTTCGTCTTCATGCTAATAGGTGGTCCCCGAGACTTCTTATGGAGCTAAATATCGTTCGCTAATAACAGACTGATCCGCCCAGAGCATTGCGTGAATGCTTTCTCACTTGCGTGATGACGTTATCGTGAATACATTGAGAATATTCAAGAGCCGTTCCAATTTGTAGTATCATTAGTATTAGCTAACGGCTCTATGGAGTTACCTAACTGGCCTTGACACGACATTGGTATTGGATGCCTAGGTTAATAGTGTCACGATTAGACACTAACGTCTAAATGTTTGTCTATTCTTGGAGCGTAATTCGTTCTGCATGCATCACGTTTCTTAGGGACTAAGGCTAAGTATACAAGTTGGTAGGCACATCAAATCCATTGTAACTGGAGACATATTTTATCACGATTGAATTTAAGACTATTATGAATCCACCTGTACAAATAAAAAGCCGCTATAAGTGTGTCGCGTGCCTTCTTTTTGTCATCATCATTATCAGCAGCAAAAAGTCGGTTGCTTTCCACATAGTCATCTGCTGCATGCCTCGCAACTGCTAGTCCTGCCTTTGTTTACAACCAGTTGTACGAGCGGCTGCAGTTTTTGTCCGGCTCTATGTATAGGCCGGCCCCAATTTCCGAACTACACCTGTCGGGGCTGTCGGTCTACCATCTGGCCAGCGCAAAATAATCGGAATCGGAATGAGTTATTTGCTTCATTATGCTAATACACATTCTTATGTTGCAAGATGATCAATATGATTACATACGGTGAAGTCTAATAAGAATTTGATCAAAATATTTACGGAGATAATATCGTAACTGAGTTTGAAATTACTAGGCATGTTATCTACGCTCCACTGTTTTGGTACACGAAAACTGGGTTAAAATAACAAAAGTTTTGGGCTAAAGCCTGTCCAATAAACTAATCACAGAGAGTGCCCGCAGCTGATGTTTATTTCATTACTTCATCGCTATTCCGTTCAATTTAATGGAGTGTAAAATATGTCGCAGTGAGACGAAAATATCGCATCGCTCAATTCAAGCCTGAGTGGCGATTGCACATGATGTTGGCTGCTTGAATGTCTCGGTTATCTGATGACCTTTCGAGTTATCGTTTCATTCAACTTCTTGAGTAAATATTGTTTGTTTAATATTAGGAAAGATTCGAACAGCGACTGAAATATGAATGATGAATGAGGCTTGTATCTCTTCCAACTGACAGATAGGTTTCATATTGTCTATTTTACTAGTTCAAATGCTGTTCGTATTATTCATTCATCAATTATCGTGTCTTATGCATTACATAAAATCTTGGCTTTCGACATAGTTCCGACGCAATATTTTGACTTTATTGATAGGTATGAGGTGCAAGATCAACGTACATTAATCTTCTACTAGATGTGTTGTAATGTGATCCAACAGTCTTTAGATCTCATGTCTACATAAGATCTTTAGTCTCAAACCATCACTTGGTGGAACGATGATTTAACTTTCTTTTGCGTGACAAACTGACAATGCTGTTGTTAAGTTTACAAGGCATTCCCAATTAGTTATAAAAAGTAGTAAGTACATAACTACTAAGGCAAATTAGAGCAAGGCTCGGTTGCACTCGACGAATGAACCCAGCACAATCGGCGGACGTTGCCATAACACGGTCGACAATAATCGCGGCAATACAGCCGACAGCTCGCTCAATACCCATTCATACGGTGTCGGTACATCGTCAGCGGCGGCAACGTCGGCGGTCTTTCAGACGTCACCGGCTCGGCAATTTTGCGTTATGATGTACACTTACGCCACTAATGATATCTCAGACACCGATGACTGATGTTTTACACCGATCAGTTGATTAGTTACTGTATATTTATACTGACAAGCCAATATGTTTTAAACGGTGTCAAATTCACGCATTTCTAATGTTAGTTTTTGTTTTGTTCCAGTCAAAGCAGCGAGCGTCGATCAAATGGCTGTTATCGAAGGCCTTCAACAACAGAGTCCCCGAGAATCTTGTGGAACCGTTCTACAGGGATCATGAGGTAATTAGCATTTGCAATCCTTATCTTAATTTTCTTAGGTAAAGCAAACACACTCTTATTATCATCTAATTAATATTCAATGAGATGATTGGATGGAGAACCTGTCATACACATTATACATCTAGTTTTCCCATTCTGTGCAGATTAGCTCCTTTGACTAACTCGTAAAGCTGTTGTTTTACTCTGCAGCCGTATCCCGGCGCGGTTACGGTCGCAAAGTTTATCTTTACCGACTTTATTTTTATTTGCTCTATCTAACTCCCCAGGTTTATTGTGTTTACTGACTGAGTTAGTTTGACTGCTGAGAAGTTGCCAAGTGAATCGAAATTGATTAACTGAATTTTTAATCCTAGCACTGTGTATTACTTGGTAATTGGTATAGTGATCGTATGTAACCTAGTTTTAAATGAGATCCAGGTCTTCATGGTATGTATGTGATGTAGAGTCGAATGCCCTCGATATTTTGTAATTGTTCATATCTATTTTGATGTAATCGCATCGAATGTTTTCCTGCTACCTTCCACCTTTTTGAAGTGAAAATTAATTGTCACTTTCCCTAAAATTATTTTCAGTCACGTCACTACCTCCCTTTTCTGTCTGTGTTTTTTCAAAGCCTGACGATTGGCTATGCATCAGTTCAGTCGCTTCAACCGACTGATTTCTAATTAGATGTCAAATTAATCACTCTCATCGTAAACATTTCGTATAAATTGTTCAAAGTATAAAATTTGCAGTTCTTATCGTAATGGCCAAAACGTATTACCTAACTGAAAGATTTCACTGTACATAAAGATACAAGAATGAAGATAATGGGCCGTTGACCCTCACACCTGAACGCTTATTAAGTAGTTGCTTCTCACGTTTAATTTTCACTACTATTGTTTACCGCAGCATCTGTTTGCGACGTCGCGTGGTTATTCAACCTCCATGCTACACCATATTATAAATAAACAGGAATTTTAATAAACCCCGCGTTCTCAGCTGCATAATTATTGAATATCATTATGCAAAATTGGTTTACAATCATGTTCAGATGCGTTTTCTTTGTTGTAAACTTCTTACTCGTTATACCCATTTTGCAAGTCTCGTTTAGAGAATTGACTATGTATGAAATGAATGGAGGAGAACATAGAAATAACCTTTATTTACCAGTATTAAAATGAACTGAGTACATTCCGTTTAACATTCATAGTAACGTTAAGTTTCCTCACTTAATTCGGTATGTAGGGCAATTAGTTTGTATTGTAAGGCATATTTTCATCCACGCTATACGGTACGCTAATCGATGGCCGTACTCTGTTTAGTAAATCGTTTTGCAAGCAGTGTGTACTCAGAAGTATTATTACGAAGATAAATCATCCCTTTGATATTGCCTCGATTGTGCAACCGAAGATATCGTCCTAAATAACAGCTGTTCATGTCTCGAAACTCCTTGTAATGCGTGCTATAAATAGCGCCATTCGTTGCACATTATTCTATTCCAAGAGTTTCAGTTTTGTTTTTAATGGTTGTATGTAACGCTTTATCGAATTTATAACGTTATTGCTCTTAATAAATTTGACATTGGCACGTTGTCTCGCATTGTAATCATACAATTCAATTTCTGAAAATTACTAACTGGTTTGTTCGACTGGTATATAATTTTTTATTTGAGCTGAAACTTCGTTCGGATATTAGGTTTCGCAAGAATTTATGTGTCGCATAAAATTTTCACCCACATGTACTTTCCAAAGCATTGGCATAAAAAGTTAAATACATGGTTTCATAATGTAGTCGCGGTTGCGTAACGCGATTTCGGTACTTTCACGAAACCTGTCTAAACCTAATTCACGAAGCTCGTGTGTTAGTAGCTGTTGTTACCACAGAATTTAGGGAAAAGACACGAAGTTAATCGTAGTTATGACTTGAAGAAAACTTCAGTTCCCCCACTAGACCCCGAGGGAATCCTGAGTGTAAAAGAAAATGCCTAGGCCGACCCGGTTTCAACATATTGAACTGACCTTCTTACGTGACCTTTTCATTTTCTTCGTGTTCGTTAACTTGGTTCATATTTTAGATTTCCGAATATGGAACCGAATCAGGGACGGGTCTGATGTAAAGCTATTTGAGAGATTGAATTCGTTGTAGGGTGAAAATGTTGTTTCGCTTTTCAGAAGATTCTTTGGAATGGTGTCTAAGAATTTCTTCGAATATTTCAACCACCGATGCACTTTTCTGGTTGGATATTAGAGTATCTCTACTCCTGCCTTTGGACACCTTATTTATCTACCTTAGCATTCAGATTTAGTGACCTTGGTACAAAAATCGCAATGCCTTACCATGTCTGAGTAAATCCGAGCATGATATTGATCCGGGGCATCCATAGTTACGAGCCGGCACAACGAGCGTCACGCGAACCCACATTCAGTAGTACTCAGTACTGGTAATGTGCTCCAGGGAGTGTCTGCCGTGTCGTTGTCATGCGAGTGCTGTGCCCATGGACGCCATGCTATCTGAATAACCGAAGGATATAATGCTACAGAAATGGAAGAGCACAGTAAGGTTTCTGAAATTTGTCAAGATGCCCCATTCAAAATCATCTTTGTGTTGGTTCTTTTAAAATGTAGCTTCATTCCATTTGTATTTTGCTGCAACAGATGACGTAAAGATATCAATAATCCGTTTAATGTCATTCACAAGAGACTTTCTTGATAAACCTTATCGTGTCATATTATCTTGGCTGTCAGGCTATTTCAAGAGTGCATTAGTATTCAGTGCAGGTCTCATTTCCCAGAAGTTGTTTCTGGATACAGTGCCCGACGGATGTCCATTAAGCGAGTGTTGTTGCGAACAAGTTCAAGGACCACCGTGTTTGTCACTGAAATATCCCCGCACGCTCACTGAACGTGAAATATTGCAGTGTACCTATTTCAATGCAATGCCCACATTTTACATCTTAGGTACAACATCTAATACGTCTAAAACCCGCACTTAGTTACGAAGATAATGTGAAAACTTTGCTCTTCTTTTCGAGTTAAGAAACCTTTTTGCGAAAGTAATTTTGGCTGTAGAGTTAAGCTTAATATATTGCCAATCGACATTTAATCTAGCAAAAGACTCAGGTGGAATAAACTAAAGATTACTTGAATAATTTATCTACGAAGCAATTAAGCGCAATTTGAGTTCAACCAATTCAATGTATTATCGGTAGTTTCTTTTCTGTCTCCAGCCTCAATAGTCAATCAATTTGCCGTGTAATACGTATAATTTAGTATAGCTTGTGTATCAATAATTTGGATGGAGTTGGCTGAACCCGCCAGGTCATCAGGGGCGTTATTGCTTTGTCTCGCGATGAGGTGAATAACCAGGACATTAGACACGACTAGTTACTGCGATTTTACATCAAACTAGTGTGTGAGAAGGAATTAAAATAGCGCTGAAAGATTATTGTTTGCATGTACGATTTTACGTCTCAAAATATTAAGTTAATTAAAATAGCAAAGTCTTGTTATTTATTTTTAAGTAATTCCGATGCAGCTAACGATATTAAGCAATCAAACACATGTTTTGGTCTGTTGAACAATTGAGGAAGTAGTTGCGATCATGTTCCAGAAATAAAATATCGTCCTGTCCCTTTGAAATCCAATAGCACACGGTATTCAGCTTCGCCGGTGTAGTCTCCGAGCGTTTTCCACGATGGAAATAACCTAATGAATGCATATTCATCTCCACTCTGCAACAAGTAACTTTGCTCCTCGGGACGCCAATGTGGGCATGCTCCAAATACAAACGTCAAGGGCGTAAGGTTGAGAATGGAATGCCACAAAGTTTTTCAGCGGGGCCAATACAAAACTGTCGTTCCGTAAAAATAGTCGTGCCGTTTCCGCCTTCGGGAAACGGTGATCCTTTTGTTCTTTTCTCTATGACTCAGCTGGTTTTGTCGTAACTATTTCCAGTTATTTTCTTGTATCTTTTCATGAAAATCTGTTACATGCACAGGAAATGCATAAAAAAATACCGACCATGACAATATAGTCGATAGCCGTTCGAGCCATATTTTCTCACGTTTCCAACACAAATTACGTACTTTCAATTAATGATTCACTGTTATTGCCGTTTAATGTCGTTCTGAGTCAGCTCAGCTTCAACACCTAAATCTCGGTAGCACATGATTCATCCATTTTCTGTCTTAGAAATTGTACAATGTGCAATGAAAAGTAGTAAAACAAGCAAAATGGTAAAAAACTGAATGAGTGCGAATAAAAAAAGTTCTGCAGACTAATCACAGACGGTGCAGATGAATTTTGTAGCCGGCGCCTTTCTCCTTGACCCGTGCCTTCGGGGACATCGGAGACGAGCCACAATGCGTTTGTCATTAGCTCTTGGTCGTTTTGTCGCGCCGTCGAGGGCTGATGCGTTTTTGTCGTGTTCTATGCGTAACGTGACGCCTAATGTGTGTGTTCACTAACCGAGCTTGCAAGGGATTATAGCCATAGTGTGATACGCCTGTAGACTAGACAACAGTTGCATTCACGTAGCGAAGTAATTGCGGAAAAAAAGTCCATGAATCTGATATGAAACTTAATCTAGCTATGCTCAAGTACTGTTCTGCTTCCATGAAAAGGCTGTCTAGGTCTAAGACATATTTATTTACGCAGACACTTCCGACGAACTGACATGACACGTTGACGTGATCCAGTCCATTTATAGTTATCAAAGTATTAATTATGCCTATTAAAGTAAGTTATGTTTGTGTCTGTTTGGTATTTAATGCGTGCTTCGCTGCGATTGCGAACAAGCATTCAGTAGCATCAACCGTGCATGCATTTCGAATCGAATGTTTTGACTCAAGGTAGGGTAATTGCGCCGGTTTTCCGTCCAGCTCCTGTTTTCGTCCATTTGACCGACTTGCCACAAACAATTACGGAAAATTAGAATACAAACCTAACTTTCCGTGCAAGTTTGGACTTGTTACAATCTATAATATCTAAGTAACAGTTCTGCCTGCATGAAAATGTAAT